AATACTGCATTTTAGCACGATTCTTGTTGGGAGCTCTCCTTAATTATTAAAATAATTTTATTAAAAATGTAATAAAATTATTTATTATATTTTTGTTACAGCGAGCGGCTATATACAGTACAGTACATAACATAGCTATGAAAATTATGCCTGTTTTCTTAATATTCAATGTTTTTCCAAAAAAAATGTATTAGATACACTTTAAAAATCTGATTGGCGTTTAATTGCATATTTTATGGAGAATAAAACAAAGCTTCTAATTTTTTTTATATCTCTAAATTAAAATGTTGCATCTTACTACCTACATCTCACGTAAACTCTGAGAGCGAAAATCATAAAGAATGAATAATAGCCAATAAAGAAAAAATAAATAAAATTATAATACCATTTTTAACATACTTTCATTACATTTTCCACTACCCGTTTTTTGCAGATTTTACCTTTATTCGCTTTTGTAGTTATAATTGAGCCTCAATTTCTTTATTTGTAGAATTTGATACTTAATGTTTTGAGTTATATGGAAATAGTGTCCAATTTGTGTCGATTTAATGAATTTTCCATTTTTGCAGTCTCTACAATATCTTTTGTGTCTTACCAGTTGTCTGCATTAAATATATTATCACATCTACGACAAACTTACGTTTCTGATTTTTAGTAAAAATCTATAAAAAAAAACTGCACATAATGGGGTACTTAACACCAAGGAAAAGTCACACAATTTTATCAATGACGGTTCCAAAAGTCTGATTGTTTAAATCTGCATTTTATGTTTATACACCCAAAGTAAACTTACCAAATTAATACGATATTTTAGCGTAGAAGATTTTATGTAATTCAAAATTCGTAAGTTTACTATGGAAGTGACGATATCATCATCATCATCATCAGCCTATTAATGTCCCCACTGCTGGGGCACAGGCCTTTCCTATGGATGGAACAGGGAGATTGAGTGACGATATATTCGAGTTAAATGCAAGTTTTAAGGGAGACACGTATTCGAGTGGCAGAAAGGCAAACAAGACATATTGCGGCGGCGGCGGCGGCGGCACAGGCATATCTCATGACTCACTCAGTTGCTAACTCGCCGTATTATATCGTGTCCGAATTCACGGTAACATAACACTTTGTTTATGGACATTATTATTATGCACGACGAACGAACCACAGAAAATTTTATGAAATAAGGTAATACATCCGTCCCACAAAGTAATTTGGGGTTCGATACGAGCTTATATGTAGAAAATCATTCAAAATTTGCACGCATATGCAAATTTAAGTTAGGTTTAAAAAAGTGTCTAACCTCTTTCAAAGACTACTTATTGTAAAGTTTGATAAAATAATATTTCTTAGTGAACTTTTTCCAAAGTTCAATAAATTTCCACTTCAGTTTAAATATTTTCAATTAAACATATTTTAAAACTGAAATTTTGGTCAGGATATAGACTGACCAAAATTGCAGACATACTTTTCTCAGATTTTTCCAGACATGGTTTTTCAGAAACCGCATTTTTAAAAAGAGAAGGTTTTTACCAGTCCAGTATTGAATGAGTAATTATTATTAGTTGCATGGTAACTTCTCGCGAACAAGTCCAAACTTGACTGTTGCGGTTACGAGACAGAGGTTGACCTCAGGCAGGAGTTTAAAACTTGTTCGTGTTGGCACATGAACTAACGAGCCATAGTTAGCTCTATATCTCAACAGAACCAGCATGGCTTCTATATTATCATCTTTATAAAGACGATAGGCAGGAAAGTAGGTACTTGATTTGTTTTAAGGAACTAATCTATAAATACCAATTTATCAAACCATCAAGGTTTGATAAAAGCAATACTTGAAACACAACTTTGCAGATCCAAAATTTAGGCAATTGATTCGAACGAAGCTCACAATTATTAATTTTCCTGAAATATTTTGATAAAGTTACCCAATCATTTTGAAATAAATATTTAAATTCAGATACTAATTGCAATGAAATAAAGTTTCATATGCAATGTTATATAGAGGTTCGCGAACATCGCTAGGAAGACAAGTCTCAACATGCCGCCGGGTGTTGCCCTTTTGCCGCCACCTCTCCTGATACTGATAAAGAACAATCAGTAACACAATCCATATTTATAACATGTTATTATTATTTAGGTACATAATTAAATTATTTTAGTATTAAAAAAAAAGTAATTATTACTAACATGCAACTACTCATTTTATCAATTTGTTTACCTAAATGCAATTTAATATTTTATAATTTTCTTTGCTCACAATTATTTTTTCTTTTATTATAAACAACTCTTTTTTACATACTACGCTTTATTTATGGATTTTAGGTTAGGGAAAGAGTCGTTTTGTATATATTATGTTGTTATAAAATCTCTTTAGTTGTGCTGTTTGTATTGTAACTAGGTATCAAGACACATAAAACTTGGCATATTTTTTTAAATGAAATGGGAACCTTTTCTAGCATTGTTCAGTTGATAACTATTCACAATAATTAAGGAATTTAACCAGAGTATTCAATACATTAATCAAGGCTTAATCTTACCTGCTTTTGGAAATTTATTATTTTTTATAGTATCACGTGAGAGTTACGATGACAAGGCTTTATATACCTTATGTTCAACTGAACTGTAAAAATAGTACTGTATAGTATATGTAGTATAGGTATTTGTAAAGTTAAAGGACAACTATGCAATGAGATACTCATATTGACGCCCTATTCATACATAAGCTGTAAAGCTTCTGACTGATATTGAAACAGCAAGACTTATCTACGTAAACTATTTTCATAGAGTAATGTCTTATGGCCTGTTGTTATGGGGATTAGCTAAGAGTAGATTAGTTTTTTGGAAACCAAAACCAATTACACTAATAAGGATTTATATCATGTTGAAATAAAAACTATAATACCTATTTATACTTATCATATTCCTTCTATCTCCTCGCCAAAACATAAGTATATTTCTAACGCTTTAGATTTGTGTATGCTATTTTGCTGCAATTTTTGTTACATTTATTTATATTTAAAGTATATCATTGATTTGTAGTGAATGCCAAGCAAAAGCTCAGCTTACTTATCCTTGTCGTGACGTGAGTTCTCAATTGCGGAAGATGGCGGAAAAACAAATTTTATTCTAAAAATATTCCTTGCATTCATTTTTTTATCATTTCTTTTTGATAATTTTCTTTTATGCTACCTTGTCCTGAAAATAATGAACACAAAAAAAAAAATTGAATCAGTCGTTCAGAAGTGATGCATGCATACTTTTCGACGATTCATTTTTATATATATATATAGATTGCCTCATAGTATAACTGATCTTCCTATGCATAAATTAAAAACTCGCGTAAAATAAATTGTTGAGCAAAGGATACTATCAAATCCAAAATAATTCAGAAATGTTATAAATTAAAAAATAAAACTTATAATAAAATATTTCTAACACCAAATTAACCTAGCCCTAAAAGTAGGCACTGTAAGGCTTGGGTTATGAGATACTAGTATAACGGATAGAATACATATACGGATTTAAGTCTATTATTTATATATAAATATCAACCATTTTGAGTACAAATGCTCGTATTAATTAATATCGAAATAATTTTTGTGGGTTGAGTAAGGAACATGAACAGGTTAAGTAAGGAAAAATAATGAGTAGGATGAACGAAAAACAACCCAACCCGGGACCTCCGCGTATATATCACTGGGCTATGGAGATCGTCTAAGTTATGACCAATAAAAATATTTTAATGATTATTTTTAGTAGAGCTTGCTAATTGAACTATACATGTGCGACACACGCCCGCACTCGCTTGACGACACAAGTCAAGGAACAGATCGTTATGTTTTCAATGTAGCTGATTAATATGTTAATCTAGCGACTAGGTAATAATGTGATATTAGTGAGTAGATGGACGTTATCAGTGCCATGTCGGTGCCACAAAGTTCAGCGCTCGCGGGCAGGCGTCGCTTTGACGTCACTCGCATGATAGATAATTTATCACATGTATGTACATAGTATGCCACGATTGTTTCCGAAAGGTCGCGATACCAGCTTTATTTCTTTATAAAGCTGCGATGCGATAAACTGGTCGACCTTTTGGCGATCCATCGGAAAAGTACGAATCGCCTCGTGCTTGCACTTTTGTGAATTTTACCACTTGGCTCACAGTCAATGACCATCAGCTTAATAATTTAGATGATGCAATGATTAATATGTGGAAAGAAATTACCATGTCAGTTAAAACCAATGTGGTATTTGTTGTAATACTACTTTTTTCGGCTGATGTGTCATATTGCATGTTAACGCTTAGTGTAATGTGCAAGTGTTATAGCATTATTCGCGCTTCTTTAAACATGTTTTCCACATGGTACAAAATAACCTCGAATATGGTCTCAGTTGATTTTCTCTACGCTAGCAACGTGTGGAAATGGTGTGGAAGATACAAATGATTTCGTTGACATAATTTGACAATAGCCATGCATGACAAAAATTATTATGAATCACGTGTGCGGAAATGATGACGTTTGAGGAAGCGGCGACTTTAATGATTCCAAGATTGACATAAAAAAGAGCGGAAGCATCCGTCCGTCTGTCAATGCGGCGACAATGTTGTGCTATTTGTGTAAAACGAGCGATTTATTTCAGTCGGTCGCGGCGTGAACGTCCGCGGCGGAATTTCGGCCGAGAGGAATCCGATGCCGTTAGACCGCGCACCGCGCAGCAGCGGCCGCAGCCCGCACTGATAGCCTCCCGCAGACTCTGTTGCCGGGCGAGCGCTGCGTGCGGCCCGCCTCGCGCCCTCTCCACCCCCCCTATGACAATCACACTATTTGTACAAAAGGAAAATTCGAGACGCCGCTGACTCATCACCCCGTGCGCCGACGTCGCCGCACCGACCCGCTCCACCGGGGCTCTGCTTTTATTTTTTAAACACTTCGGCCGACCTTAGTTTTTGTTCACCTTCCACTTTGTCGGGTCTTGCCGATCGATTTCGCACGACTCACCTCTGAAGAATGATCATCCACATACGTCAAATGGCGACGCCATACATACGAAGTGTCAACCGGTTCACTCACTGCATTTGTACACAGTAATATCCGATCGTAAATCACAAAACGACAGCGGTTGGACTGACACTGGTTGGTAACAGCACGGGACGTGTACGCGGCGCGCGCTCACGGAACTGACTGCGCCGGCGCACCATTTGGGTCACTGTCATTCTGTGGTGGGGGACACACGTTCGCCAACTCGCTTCTGAAAATTTTGCGACTCGCGAATATGTTTCATCGATGCGGGCGTTTTCCCCGCCAATATGCACCAATCGGCGCGCGTACCGTTCTCTGTTGCCGGCAACTTTCGGCGGTCGTCGGCCGCTCGATCACTTTGCGACTTTACCGTTTGACTCGCTGTCCGCAACTGATGAACTTGTGTAGTTATAATGAAACGTATTCGACTCTTTAGTACCTTCACCAGACATCATCCAGCCGTGTAATTAAATATATGATTTTGCAGATTTTCGTTGCTGACATGACGGTCGTCTTTATGTTAGTTAGCAAAAAATCTTATCTCTTCTTAAAATAACCTGAGAACAATTGCAGCAGCGTCTAAATTCAGAAAAATCAATATTTCAAATAGAATATTGGTATTCCATCGATTACATTACAAACCTAGAGAAGCGATGAATGTCTCTTACTGGTGATGCCGAGAAAATTTGTATTCTACTACCAGTACCTACGTGGAAAAAAGAGACATAAAACTCGAGAGTATTTGTGTATTTATATTTATACTTCTCTACATTTGTAGAGAAGAGATATTGTGTGCTCGCGAATAAACTCTACAAATCTTTGCATTCAATATATTTCCATACGTAATAAAGCTTAGCAAAGAATTTCCATTCCATTCTTAGCTCCTAAAAAAATTGTCTATAATTATTTTAAGTTTGAGGCAGAATATCAACGACTTCCGGTTATACGGCTGTCCTAATGCGAAGCCACATTCCCTTTGGTTTCCAAAAAGAGAATTAATGTTAAAGTTTAGTTACTAAGAAGAATATATGTACAGGATTGAGGTTTTCGATCGGTACAATTTTTTTGTGGTAATTTAATTTTACAATTAGCGGGTACGACGCCCCAGATCAGACGCGTGCTTTTTTTTTAATGTTATTCATAATATTTTGAAAATACATTCTTTCCACATACTGTATTTAAGGTACTTTTCCTTATAGTGGCAAAGTTTTGGGACCACGTACCTGTATCTAGAATCACGTACCTTTTAATTAGATATTTTTAAGATATTCTCTCAAATGTTAAATTAAAAGGTATCGCGATAGTTTGAAGCGTTGAAGTTAGAAAAAGGATAGAAATCATTTCATTAAGTTATATCTCTTTGTGAATTTCTATATTTGTTAATAAAAATCCACATTGAATGAAATAATTGTAGTTTTTTTGAATGTTTAATAAAAAAAAATAACCAGAACTTTCATGTCAATAAGTTATTTCCAAAATAAATACAGTAGACCAATCAAATTATTTGACTTTTTTATTATTTTCAATTATTTTAAATGAGTTAAAAGTATATTTTGCATTTTTTCTTTCTTTCTACTTTATTTTTTTTCAGTAGCTATTAAAGCCGATTACAAGTATTTTTCTCATTTTTTATGTTAAGGGTGAAGCAGCATATCTATGAATATTCTTTAGTGTTTATTTTGTAATAATTGAAAATTTACACATCATTCTAAGTATTTTATGTGAAAGATATGGTGCTTGCTAACATACTACAATATTATGTGTTTTTGTGTTTTGTCTTTATTTTAAACTAATCAAGGGTTTGAGTTAATTTTAAGTGTAAATAATTTTAAGAGTCCAGTCGTGAAGGCGGCATATAAGTTTATAACTTAGCGCTATTGCCCTTATAACAGATGATGGAGTACATACAAATCTGTTTAAATACTGCTTAATCTTTTTAACAGTTTGGGTGGAAATTGTAATGTACCTCAGGGACAATTCTTTTATTTTGCAATCATAGGTTTCATTTCATATCTTATCATCCATGTAGTCATCAATTTCAGCTTACTACCATTATGTACACACTTGGAAACGCACAGTTTCAAAAATATTACACACTATTTATCATTTTGTAAATACGTATCAGAATCCCATCTACTACAATCACTATTCCAGTGTGCTAGACGCTTACCCGCATTACTCCATATCCTTATACATATATTTATAATTAGTTTCTTTGATTATTTATTTATTCTCATATTTAACTCAGCTTTTCTTTATTTTGTTAATGTTTATGTTTGTTTTTTTGTTTTTACCCGACTACGCAATGCAAGAGCGCGAAGCACGATGCGCTGACAGGGTATAGTGTTCAACAGTCTATGTATATGTATGTATGTTACTTTGTGGCACATAAGAGACCAAACGCGTGAACCAATTTTGATGATTCATACGTCAATCGATTCGTCTTAATGATGGGAGTGCTACTAAAGGCATGATAGTAATCGAAATTCAATATGGGGACAATTAGGAGCCATATTGTAAGAAAGCACAAAAAATAAGTTGATGGAATATGTCGACCGGGGTATCATTGTCTAGATAATCGAAAATCATGTTTAGGTTTCTTACACCATTTTTATTTTATATGACTGTTTAAGATCTACAAGGATCTACAACCATATAAAGTTGTATATTAACCACTTGCGCTTTTCATTTCAATCTTACGTATGTATGGATCTTTGTTACTCTTTCACCCATAAAATTCTGAATGGATTTTAATAAAACTTAATAATAATATAGCTCATACATAATAATAACATATAGATAATTATTTATGGAGCTACTGAGTCAATTGGCCAAAATAAAATGTCCTATAAGACGCAAAAAATCTCCCATCTGCGAGCCTTTTTGGCCTGCATTTAACAACAATAAAAGTGACATGAATATAATGTATAGTTGAAAATTGCGAAGTGACAAATAAAATTTTAACCTAAGTAAACATAATAATTATACACAAAAAAATATATATACTAGAATAATGAACCTAAAACTAAAAACCTTTAAAAAATATAATATAGTAGCTAAAATATATTATTAAATATTATCCAAAGGGACCTTGCCTAAAGAGGCAAGGTTCCAAAAATACTGGCAGTGTTCCCCCTTTGAACGGCTAGTTGAAATGTATCTCTTACATAGGTCTACAAATAAGTCCGCGACAGCATATATCTATTTTTAATGCTACAAAGGGATCCATTAGATATTCAAGAAACGATCAAACATTTTTAATAATGGGTCCCGACTGTTAAAGTAGCTTTGTAATAAGACTAGCAACCATAATTCTGTATGGTACGGAACCATACAGAATTATAGACTGCTAGTCTTATTTTTTTCTTTTCAGTTTTTATTTGAATCAGTGTTTGTGAAAAGCCACACAAACATTCATGGAACATTAAAAAAAAGCAAATCTGTTACCAAAACCACCAAGCGCGCTGCGTCCTTGGACGCGCAGGCTAAACACCCACATACGGCTGCATCTTCGGATGCGGCAAAGCCCGCTGCATCTTCGAAAGCGCAGGCTACACACATACACGCGGCTGCGTCTTCGAATGCGCCAAACACTAACACCGTCACGACGCGGGAGGTCATAGACCTGTCTGCTATTGGTGCCGCAACCCCGGATGCTACCCCGAAAAGGACTGCGTCTTGGAGCCTGGAAGCCCAGAGCAGGAAGGTTACTGACAAACCGCCCGTGAAACTCACCATCAAACCGCTGCCAACGTCAAAGAAGTCCTTGGCTGGTGCACCACTGGCCAATGTACTCAATAAACACCAAGCGAAAGCGCGCTTTATTGCGAGGTAGATGCGCACGCTGGAGTCTGGGGGGAGTAAGCAGATAGAGGCTGCTGAAGAGACCACTGCGAATTACGCTGCCCGTGTGGGCAAGAAGATAGTAGGTGCGGATGGCGTAAGCCGGCCAACTGTCGAGAAACCTGCTGAAAAGGCACCCCAGATTCCGGATGACGAGCAGGATCGTAGCGATTTGTTGCGACCGCGCGGCAAACGGTCAGGACAAGCCAGGAACAACCAGCCAAAAAAGTCCCAATCAATACCATCGAAGAGAGGACGTTCTGATGACACCATATCGCCCAGAGGGGATACCAAGAGGCCTAGGACTGGTCCGGAAAGTTCATCAGTAAACGCGGACGCATTGCGTGTCACTGACCTCTGCTTCGCTGTAATGGCGGAACCCTTTCAGGACCTAACCGAGGCACAGGCCTCCAAAATCGAGGAGGACATCGACGGTGCTCTATATGAGCAAATTTACAAACTGTCCACAATGTCATCCCGTTCAAAGGCATTCCGCGGCAAAGCCTTTTGGTCGGAGGGCGTCCTGAAACTCTAGTGCGAGGACGAATATTCGCTAGTATGGTTGCGCCAAACCATCAAGACCATCAGGTCTCTCATCTCGAGAAACTTGGCAATCAACGCTGGGAGTCCTCATTGACATTGAAAGCGCCTTTAATAGCATCAGCCAAGCACTAGTGGGACATGGTGTTGACCCACGACTACAAGATGTATCAACAACATGCTGAAATACAGAGTACAAGTGACTGTGAACACTACGAAGGGAGCCATAGTGGCACGGGGTTGCCCGCAGAGAGGCGTTTTATCTCCTCTCCTGTTGAATATTGTGGTTGACGAACTAATTTGCCAACTAAATCAACGCAACTACCACACAGTGGCTGTGTTAGCTAGATCTACATACCCTGAACGCACAATGGACCAAGTACGGAGTCTACGTGCGGAAACCACCACAACAAGTATCATTCTCTTTTTTTTCAACATTCTTACCGGCTCTCGTCGTTGACAATGAAATAATTATTTGTGTCGTGTTTCGTGTATGACATGCCCATTCATTCACCGGCGCCGTTGCGTCTACCTCAGCTAGCCGCTTGCGGTAGTTGACCGAGAAAGTTTCACTGCCCATAATTGATGGCAAGCTTTGATCAAAGATCGCAACGCATTTCTTCGATTATAACCCTGGAAATTGGTCTGTAGCACGTACGATATTTGATAGGTGTATGAGAAGTGAATTTAAAATGATATTCATAATATATAAATTTATTTCTTTTCGCTTTTTCAGAAACGCCCGAACATTAAAATAAAAGTATTACTGGAATGACAACCACCCCAGTAATATGGTGGTAGAATTTTAAATCGAAACCCATCAGTTACCTATCGTGGTACACATGTATCGAAATAACCTTTTTACTAACAAAGTTTGAGAAACCCAATATTGTGAAATATTTATTCCTCCCTCTTCGTTCTCAATCACATGGTCTGAGAGCTTAAACTTTACGATTCTCCCATAGAGTATTCGATTTTTCTTAAGCGTTTATTATAAACACCGTTGTTCGAGTATGATTGCAACAAGTGGGTCAAATTGATACACACTCTACCAACTTTGAAGTAACTTAAAAATCTATAACATTTTTAAGGTAAGTATTACCTTTTTAACGGGTTTAAAATGCGTTGTTTAATACTTTTTTTACATAATTCTACGTTTAGCCTCAAGTTCGTCGTTCGTCGTTTTCGTTATGTCGATAAGTTCGTTAGTTCTATTTAATGAGTGGTGTGCTTAATAACGTTATGCAGGAGTGTGTAAGCTGAACTATTGTGAAGAATTTTGACAAGGAAATAAAGAGACTTTCGGAGAGGGACACAAGCTGACATTTTGTTTCTTAAAATACTTGAAGAGGTTAAATTAGGGAATCAATTTTTTTGGGAAAATCCATAAACTTCGCAAAGAAGTCGCGGCAGTCTAGTTAAAATATTTGGGTTAGTAAGATACACTATTAAGATAATTTTAAGTAATAAAATCTATACTGGACTGTAAAGCAAATATATTATCTCAACGTAGTTGGTATTTGGGCAAAGTATTGTACCGCGAATAAAACTTATGCCAGAGATGTGCCAGAACAACCGCGTCTTGCTGGTCTGCTATGCTTTCATAACTAATGTATAACATTTTTGTAATAAATTATTTACTTATTATGTATTTATTCATAATTACATGCCAAAGATTTACATATAAGCTTACGACACGTTAACAAAAGAAACTCCTTGACTTTTTTAAAAGTATAAA